GCGGCCGCACGGCGGGCGGGAGCTATGGCAGCGGAGGGGGACGCGTTTCTGAGAGCCCGGGGCAGGACTCTGACCGCCTTCCACCAAGGTAGGCGCCGCGGGGCCCGCGGGAGCGCCCGGCGGAACCTCGGCATAGGGCCGCGGGTTCCGGCGGGCTCTGTTCCCCGCCGCGCAGCCGGGCGGGAGGGGCGTGCGGAGGGGAGGCCCGGGGATCTCCCCGCCGGCAGCGGGAGGAGCGCTCACCGCCAGGGAGGGGAGACGCGGGCCGGGCGGGAGGGGGGGACGGGGACAGGGCCCCGGCCGTCTGGTAGCGCCGGGAAGGCCGCGATGGGGAGCCGCTGCCCGAGGCGGCACTCGGCCTGGCGCTGCCGGTCGGGGGGAGCCCGGCTGAAGGCGGAGCTGTCCCTAGCTCGTTCGCACCTCAGCTGGCGCCTGGAAGCGTTGGCCCCCGCGGCCCTGCCCGGCCCCAGCGCCGGTGGCTCCGGCTCCTGCTCGGAAGGTGCTGGAAGGGTCCGACACCAGGGTCGTTTTAAGACGCTTGTCAGTGCTGTTAAACCTGGTCTCTCTGGCTTGTGAAACTGTTGGTGCCGGCGCTGTGCCATTATGTGTTTGGAGCTGTGGGGGTGACCTAACAGGTTACAGGTGGCTCATTGTTTGTGTTACTTAAATGAAAGGCAGGTGTGCCGTAACGGACACAGCTAGATAAGATCCCAGTCTATTCGAGGTGCTTCAGCCTCTCTCAGGTCAGCAGCTGGTTCTTCCCCAAGGTTTCCAGGTGGTGCAGAGGCAGCTCCCCTAACCCCTCGGCTGGCAGTGCCCGAGCACAGGTCAGCTCCATAGGAAACATGCTTCCAGAGTTACCTCCTCCCAGGTGAACAAAGAGAGGAGGCCGCTGCCAAGCCAGAGATGGCAGCCACCTGCTGACTGCTGGTTCTTGTCTTGTGGCTGGACCAACAGAAAAGTGTGTTGAACATCTGTGTGTGTCTCACCTGTTTGTAAAATTCTCCCAAGAGTGGAGGTTCTGTACATGTCTAGGTTTTTCAGGTGCATAACTAGCTCTGTGTTAAGAAATCTTTTCCTGTTGCCACACACACAGAAGGTATTTTATGCTTATAAATTAAAAATTGTATTAGTTTGGTGAGGTGGACGAGGCTACTCAATTCCAACAACTTTGTGGTATTTTCTTGGGTTTCGTTGGAAATATTTGGCTTTGCTTGTTGCCAAATAAAGAAAAATCACCAACTCTAAGCATGTGAAGTATACGTATGCAGTCATTCTGGCAACCTATTAATTGCAGATGGTGTAGTTGGTTTGGAACAGAACGCCTAGCATTTGTTGAGGGGACAGATGGCAGACAAGCCATCTAGTTATATCAACTGTGTAGTGAAATTGTAACAAAATGAGTGTTCAATGACAGTGTAAAAAATTCTAAACAAAAGCTTTAAGTACTTCTTGAAAATTGCCTTTAAAAGGGAAGAAAAAAAGAAGTGATTTGGATATCTGTTTTCCAGGTGTGTTTCTTTCTCCTGAAGTGTCCTTGTTTACATTCTTTACAAATTAATTAAGACTTTTCTTACTGGTTGGTTGGTTGGTTTTAATCTTGTTCAGGATTTTTTTATGCGATGGTAGTCCAGCTACCATCTTTGGGTACGATGTTTCTTTGTCAATAATTTACTTAACTCTTTCTTAAGAGGCTAAAGTTCAACACAACCTTTTAATAACTAAATGATTGGAAAAAAACGGAGTGAATGGCTGATAAAACTGAAGCAGTTTCTTGCAGTTTAGGATGAAAAGCAGGTACCTGTGTTTTCCTCAGTCTTTAAGTTTCCCTCCTTCTGTTAAAAGGATACTTAACACAAAGCATTTACTAGCCCTGCTGTGGCTTGGCACACTGTTTCCTTTTAAAATTTGAGCTTAATTTCCTTTTTTTCTTAATACCCTTTCCACAAAATCACTCTTCCACACTCTGTCTGTCCCCTAATAGTAATTTGTTCAGTCTGCTTTCACATAATATGGAGGTTATACCTGTAACCTGCTCTAATCTACTCTTGGTATGTGATGTGTGAGTTGGAAGCTCAAGGTTAGGGATCTAAATTAGCCATGAGTTGATGGAGTGTAGAAGCAAACAGTGAATAAATACCCTACTAAATTGGCAAGAGACCTCTGTATGCTTTGGATTTACTTTTTAAATAAATCCTCTGTCTTTTCTACCCATGTGAAATTATGCTTCAGGTATTTACTACTTTTATTAGTATTTTAGTGAAGAAACAGGGCCATATGTTTGAGTAAATTCTGTCTTTGCTACTTCTCCCAAAAAGTCATGTTTTTTTTGTTTTGGTTTGGTTGGGTTTTTTTTTTTTTGTCCCAAGTATGCCAGTAGCATGCTGTGCAAGGAATTTCTGTGAAAGTATGTAGAGCACTTTTTTTCATGTAACTAAACAAGTGATAGTACCATCAGTTTAACTGGTTGAGAAGTGTGTCTGTTTTGAAACCTGTCTTTTGCTAGGTTGAGCTGATGGTTCCAAAACCTCTGTCTGGAAGAGGCAGATAACCACTGTTGCATACTCACCTTCTCAGTTCCTCATGATTTTATGTTCCTCTGTCATGTCCCCCTCACCAATCTTTTGTAAGCTCTTTAAGTTTATTCAGTTGCTTCTCATATTTTTTCTCTGTTCCTTTCCCATCTCTGTTTTTTTTGCCATTACTGAATGTTGAGGTGACTCTTCTTTGTAGCACTTGCTAGAACTATCATTGTTTCTGTGAAGTTGGTGGTGTTTTTCCTATTGTGTGCTATCCTGCACTTCTCTGCATCTGCTTCCTTGAACACTCACTGAGTAATGAAGTCTCCCCACAATTCCTCACAACCAGGCCTTATTTTCATACTGCCAAATGGCTTAGTTTTACCAAATTTCACTTCCTTGCTATTCAGATTGTTTTCAATATGTTGAACAGTATAGATCCCCTTACAGATTCAAATGGTGTGTGTCTTACCCATCTCTTCTTACCATTTTTTAATGCATGCAAGGACTTTCTTAAATATTTCTAACAAAGGCTCTTGGTTCCTTAAAAGTCTTTGGTGAGTAACTGTCATACTTTTGGAGACAGTATGAAGTGGGAATCCTTATCCATGTGAAAGATGTCTATTACTCTTTCTGAAGATTCAGTAGGTGCAGTAGTTACTCTCTTTCTTACTGTGTGTTCCATTAACTTGCCTGTACAGGTGCCAGTTTTGCAGTCAGTGGTTACCAGGTTGCTCAGAAAAGTGATTTAAATGTAGGTGTGATGCTGGCCATCTTCCTACTCCTTCGGTGCAAGGGCAGTTTTAAGCAAGTGATAACTCCCCAGGGGTTAGCTGTTTTTTACTTCTGAGTTCTTCTGTGGGTGCCACCTAATCTGAGTGGTTTGTTATTGTTCATGTCTATTTGTTGAATCATCTGCTGGTGTTTTGATTTGAGACAGATCTGATGCACTGTTTGTAAAGAAGAATTCTAGCATTAGATCTTCACAGGTTGCTTCACAATAAACACGGATACAAAAATTTACATCATTTTTCTGCTCTGCCTTTATCTTTGCATGGCTGGAACATCTATTAGCCTTGGTGAGTGTCTGGCAGACTACCTATTCCTAATGCCTCTAAAAAGGACTGTATTAGTTTTCAGATTTATGCTATTCCCCATTGTTCACTTTTTTGAGCTTTACTTCTTGGACTTTTGTATCTAACCTTCCAGTGTATAAAATCTGTCCTGTTTTCTTTATTTGGATACTTTAGCTTGTTGAAGTATGCTGTCCCGCTCTTACTAGCACCCTTATAGCTGCTGCTTATGTTGTTTTGTCAGTCTGGATTTTTTTTGGTCTTTCTGACGTTCTTAGTAAATGCTGTGCATATGGTCTGAGCCTCTGGGACAGTGTCTTTGAATAGTTTCCATGCTGCCTTCAAGGATTTTTGCACTTCTTTAAAGCATCATAATTACATATAATTCGCCTTCCTTTGAAATTAAATACAACCGCAGTTGATTTCTTATTTTTTCTTGCTTTCACATGAGTGTTGGATCTTGGCACATTATGATTACTGTTCTAGAGCTCTTCAACAGTAATATTTTTGAGCACTGATCAGCACTGCTTCCCAGCTAGCATATTCCATTCCCAGTACTGTCTCCAACTCTCATATGAATTAGGCAAATTTGTACGTGGGTTTTGAGCAACTTTCTGTGACTTCACCTTGTCATTATGCAAGCCACCCCCCTTCACACCTACAGGCTTGGGCTGTAAAGTTTCTGTAATGAGTTTACATGTTAAATTTGGGGGTGGGCATAAAGGCATGACTAGAGTTTAGCATTCTGTAGCCTTCAGTACAAATAAACTGTATCTGAGGGGGCATTTCCTACCTTGATGGTTATCTAAGAAGTTTGAAAGTATATCTCTTAAAAATAGTAGCGCTGTGTAATTTATTTGAGAAACTATATTCTGTCAGCTAGTGTTTCTGCTGACATTATCCTTCTAGTTTAGGCCCACTGTACTTCATTTCTCCAATAATTGCTCTTTTAAAGGCTTTTATTTTCTCTGAAAAATTTATTTTGATAGCTGTTTTGAATAGGTTTTTTCCCTGATGCATAAAATTGCGTCTTCCATAAT